ATGTCTTAATTCTCATTTGAGTTAATTTGGGATATAACAGTTGTAATCTTAAATTGATCTTTTCAACTTTTGATAGTGTCCGGTATGATATCTCAAACATGATGAATGCATTCGATGGCCCAAGAAAAAACCATGAATACACGGACTCCAACTTGGATGGCGGCTACTGATGAGACTGTGTCACGGAGTATGAAGTTTGGACATATTGGCAGATTCAAGACTGGGTGGCACTAGCTCCAAGGCAATTCAAGACAGAGATGCCATGAGAGGCTTTTCAGAACCCCTGATTACCAACAAGAATTGTGGCTTCCAAATGGTGAAGCCTCAAGAACTCACTAATGAGCCATCCTGGCATTACGATTTTGCAATCTGCAGCTGAATGCTGATGCAAACCCCACTTCTTGAGGCACAAATGAATGCTCAGCACTAAACCAGTCGAAACATAATTCTGAGTTTCGCTCCTTTTTCTCCACCTGAAAAATAGTCGGAATTTCATTCTTGCCCATAACTCCAAATATTATGAATTGGGATTAATCTGAGTGGTAATCTAATCTCAATTATTTAAGCTGCAGCTGAAAAATGTTTTTCATTGAGAAATTTAATTTTGCAGAAGCTATACAGCATTGAGGCGAAGTGAAAGGAAGGAGCATGTAATATCCTCCACTACTTTAGTCTAGTGTACCTTCCTAGATGCACACCTTCAAATTGACCCATCAATATAATTCACTATCAAGACAAAAGTATTGAAAGATTAGTCCTAATAAGATAATTAGAAAAAAGACTTATGAAATATTTCAAATAATTAAGAATTTGAGACTTTAATTTGAGATTTTAATTTGAAATTTTAAATTCAAATATTGAAACAGATAATAAAGAATTAAGAAAAAAAATTAGTGAAGAGAAATTTTAAAAAATATATTTATCTCATATTACATAACTTATCATTTATATTAAATAAAAACAATGGAAAAATACACATACTGAAGAAAATAACACCATGCTTATCATATGCTCCAAATACAAAATCAGCTACCCTAACTAAAATAATGCGTAGTGAAACGAAAAAAGCGAAATTATTCCATAATAGATGACTAAAAGAAGAGAAAAGTATGACTTAAACCGTTCTAACATTTTAAATGTTTATATTACTCATAAAATTATTTAAATATTTTAAATAAATCTTATTTAAAATTTAAAAGTTAATATTTGTCCATTTTACTTTCAAAAAATAAAAAAAAAAACTTTTAATTCATATTTTAAGATATTTTAATTTTTTTTAATAAATATTTATTAAAAAATATTTCTCATGATCTTTAAAAGATAAGACAAATAAACACTATCCTCTAAAATTTAAGTGTTATTCATTAAGGAAGTTTAAGTATTTAAATTGCAATTACTTACATTTAGTAATTGCCAAGATGTCACAATAAGAAAATTACGATTATTGAAACTAAATTTATCTTCGGCCTCCGAGTTTCAGCACCAACAGAACTGGTCAGGAGAACGACCAAAAGGCAGATCCCAGATCTAAAACGGCCTCCATTAGCATGTAAACTTAGAGATGAGAGTCTCCGGTCTTGTAAATGGGTAGCCTGCAATTCCTCAGCTTGTTCAGAAGGTAGGATAGTTATCCTCGCTTAGGACATTCTGTTCATCCGACTGTCGCTGTAGCTCTAAGGTTCAAGTGGAAACCATGAATCTCTGCTTCAGTACAGAATTTCGGGTTCGAATAGATCCGTCATAGGGGAAGTGACCATCGGCAGAAGACTACTACTATGAAAATTTCATTACTAGATTGGCATGTTTGGGATTACAACTATGTTGACTCATCAGCTCAGCTCGATTGATACAAACGGACATTGCTTCTCCACATCCTTATATCAAGCAAATTACCTAAGCATGTCCCCTGTGTGCAACCGTGGCCCGCTTAAAACTGGTGAGATGCTTAAAGGACAATCACCAAATAATGAAGGGCGTTGTCCAAGAGGCATTGGCCGATCTGGAATTGGTGGAACTTCAATATCTCCTTCCAACATTTTCAGTGCATCCAAAATAGTAGGCCTTAAAGCCACCATCACATGAGCACACAAAATACCAACCAGCACAAACCTCTCCATTATTGCTTTTGGATTGGAATTCAAACAGTCTTTGTTTTCCAACAAAGAACGATCAAAAGCCTCCTCTAGTTTTCCTGCTTTCACTAATGACCAAACCCAATCAGTTATCAAAAGTGCCCCCGAAGATCCTGATGAAGACAAGTCAAGAGCTTTTCTCCCACACATTATCTCTAAGACAACCACACCAAAGCTGTAAACATCACTCTTCTCAGTCAGCTGCCCATAAAGAGCATATTCAGGAGCCAAGTACCCATGAGTTCCAGCTACTCTAGTAGTGAGATGAGACTGACCCTCTTGACTCTGCTTGGCCAACCCAAAATCTGCCACTCTTGCTCTCATATCAGCATCTAGCAATATGTTTGTACCCTTAATATCCCTGTGGTATATCGCAGGATTTACTCCATAATGCAGGTAAGCTATACCTTTTGCAACATCTAGAATTATGTTCTTTTTCTGAGGCCAACTCAATGGTATCTTCCCCGTTATACTTGAAGGAAACAAATGATCATCAAGATTTCCATTTGGCATGTAATCATAAACAAGGTATCTCAGACTCCCTCTCTCCTCATAATTCTCATCCCGATCATCAATCACACAGCATCCCCTAAGAGGCACAAGATTTCTATGCTTCAGATTGCTGATAATCTCAACCTCATTGCAAAATTCTGCATTCCCTTGAATCTCAGATTCTATTATCTTCTTCACTGCCACCACTGTCCCATCCGGCAGGACCCCTTTATAAACAACCCCAAACCCACCTCTCCCTAGGAAATTCTTGGGTGAAAATTTGTCTGTTGCCTTCTCAAGATCATGAATTTTGAACCAAATTGACCCAGTATTTGGCCTCAATTTAGGCCTAGACCTTGGCTTCTCCAATTCCAAATCATAAAAACCAGAATTAAAACTACCAAGCTTTCTTCTCCTAAATCTCTTCTCATACCAACAATACAAACCCAATAAACTAGACATTACAAAAACAGCAACCCCAGCTCCAGTAAATATGAAAACAACCCCTGAATGTTTACTACCTGAAGTTTGTGTTTTCAAAGATAATCCAAAAATGCAAGACACAGCACCATCACTCTCAGGTCCAAACTGATTAACAATCCCAGCAGCATAAAGAATAGCAAAGTGAAAACAGTTACCAGCATGAGTTTTATTACCATCAATCTGCACCAACTGCGTCTGAGCCCGATACCCAGCATTGAGACATGAATCACAGGCGCTGAGATAAGTGAGATCAGGCTTGCAGGCCGAGTCAAGCATAATTGAATCTCCAAGTTGCGCAACCCAATCTTTGGTCGACTTTATATGGGCACAAAAGTTGGGTGTGATTACAAACTGCATGGGATCAAAGCAGTCGGAAACCAAATTACTAGACAGAGAAAGAGCAGTAAGTTTGGATTGGTAGTCTTGAAGGCAGGACACGGCGGTTGACCGGTTCGGCAGCTGGAAAAAGGAGGTTTCATTGAGGCGTTGCGCCAGTGCGACGCCAAAGAGGGAGAGAAGGGACATGCAACACAGGTCTTTACTGGGGTCACTGGTGGGGTGGAAGTTTGTACAAAGGGAAGTGTTCCACGGGATTCTTAGGACATAGTTGAGGTCCATCGGACATGTTTCCGATGAATTAGTCGGAGGGGAGGACGCCAGGATTAAGGAAATGGAAGACAGAGAGAAAACACAAAGAACTACTAAATTAAGCTTCAGATGTCTGCGAAGATGAAACCTTGGTTCAAGATTCATGATTTTGGGTGTTGGGTTGTTTGTTTCTCGGGAATGTCGGATGCTTTCTGCTTGGGCGTCGAATCTGTTGTTGCTATAGGTTAGATGGGCAGGAGTCGTAGAGATTGAAATTAAATGACTGCCTTTCCTCGGTCAAAGCTCCATTCTTTCTGGTTTCTCCTATTTCTTTTGGCTGCTGAGATAGTTATGATCGAGGCCGAGTCGTATTCATAGCGCGTGTTCAGAGCAAAGAGTTTGGATTGGAGCGTTTTTGACACGCGTAAAGAAGAGAGTACAGGAAGTGGAGTTGACAGAGTGCTGATGTGGCCGGAAGTAGAGTTCCCCACCACCTAACGTGCCCAATTGGTCAATTTCGGCGTCTGGCACTTATTATTATTATTTTTTCACTAATAAAAAAGAAAAGTCTGATTAAATAAAAAAGGGAGAAATATAGCGTAATTTATCACTCTTTCCGTATCCCGTATTCCCCTGAATTTAAAGGTTTGTATTTGGTTTTATTGTTAATAATAGTTAATAGATATATTATATTTTAATTATTGATAAAATAATTAAAATCTATTATTTAATAATTTAAAATAAGATTATAAATTAATATTTTCAAAATTTTTAACAAATTATTTAAAAAAATTATAAAAAAAAACTCAACACACTCTAAATATTACAATTATATTATTTTTTAAAATTTTGTTCTTAATTATTGTTAATCGAAGTATAAAAAAATATATAGTAATTAATGAGGTAGAACTTGACTTAGTAAAGCTGGCCTATGAAATACTAGGCAAAAAGGCATATACGTACTCTCCGAATAAACCTAGTTGCTTAATAATGATTTGCGTAGACGCTTGACAATTGTGGATTTAGATTTGGGTTTAATGTAGGAAGCAATGAACTACGATAGGTGGAACTGGTTTTTTTAGGTTTAATGATTTGTTGTCAAATCTTAGTATTTGAATATAATTGATTAAGGATTTAAGTGTCACCAATCACTTAAATATTTACATTAGACTTACAAGTTATCACCGGCCTCTTCCCAGTCCAAATGGCTGAGTGTTTGTCTTCAAACACTCGAGTCATGGGTTCTGGGTTCGAAGGTCCGGTGAGCAGAGCAGAAGAAGCAGCTATATCTATATATATCGATGCTTCTCTCAATTCATGAGCTCGGCTCATTTTCTTTCTCCTTCCCCTGTAATTACTCTTGTTAAAGGAAAAAAAAAAAAAAAAACTGGTGTTTCATATGTCTTGTAAGAGGTTAATTTCCTCCTTTTTCTTATTATCCAATATTCATTTTTGCAGTGACTAGGAGAATTGCTTGCAAATCTCATAATTTTGGTAAGAATGACGTGTATTAATTTGATCAACAATCGCTTCCTTGTAAGCTTCAAATGCATGTAATATGATATAGGATTTCTATGATCCGATTTTAATGAAATATTTTATTTTTTCAAGTTTATAAAATTAATAATTGAAAATTTACATAACTTTTTCATGATTTTAGAGTAATGATAGATAGTTCACAATATATATGGTTTAGTTTTAAATTTTATTTTGTAAGTTTAGAATTTAGTTGCTTTGTATGGGGCAAAAAGCAAATTATAAAAAGAAAATTTCCTTCAAAAATATGAGAAATCATAAAAAGGTCTTTCTTGAAATGTTGGAGGAAATTAAAAGGTTATTGAGAGTGGAAGAGAACATATATGCATTTGTGAATGGTGAAGGATTCTTGTAATTTTCATTTCTTTTATAATTTTAAATTATTGAGTTCGGTTGTTGTTTACACCATAAATTGCAAAATTTTAAATTAATGCCACGTGTAAAATATTTCTTATTGGGTGAATGAGTTTAAGCCATGTCAGATTCGGATTCTAGGTCCCATGACAGATCAGTACTTGTGTTGGCAAAATAGAAGAGATAAAGATAATTTTTAATGAAGTAATTATCTTCTTGATACAGAAAGGGATAATGGGAGCTGGAAAATAGGAGAAGATGCAGTTAAAAAGGGGGTTTTATCTGTTAAGAGTACAGGTGGCGAAATATGAAAGGGGATTATACTAGGTCAAAAGGTGAGGTGTCCCATTACTTCAAAAAATCATCCATGATTGAGTAACTGCAAAAGGTGGAAGTAACTGCCTGCACAAGAAGAACACAAAGGAAATTTTGGAAGGAAGAACACATGGCATACTTTGATTTTCTCTGCACATGCTTCTAGATTTCGGATTTCAGCACAGATTCTATTAGAATTAGGTTGTTTTTCATCATTCCAGTAGACAAATTAATTCCTATATTCAGTTAAACAATTTCCTTTCATGCAATGAACTTCAATCCTTCAAGTTTATGCAAGGTATTGTTTTCTTTTCATTTGTAATTAATTTAATGTTTATGTTAAGTAGCATTGCTTCAATAATTACTTATGTGGCTTTCATGCTTCTTTACAATTTCAAGTTCTTCAATTTCTTCACTGTTCACGTTTAATTTTAATGTTAATTTAGGAGTAAATTTTCAGTTCTGCAGCAATTTAATTTCCGAATCTGTCAATAGATTGCATTTTAATTTTACCATAAGCATGTTTAATTTTACCATAAGCATGTTTAATTTTACCATAAGCATGTTTAATTTAGTTTAGATACATTTCTTTCTCGCAAGTTTATTTTAAATTGTAAGTAATTTAGAATAATTAGGATCTGTTAATTTTAAGTTACGGTAGTGTTTTAAGTCCTTGGAGTTGTCCAAGGCAGATTTCATAATCCATTTTGTAGGAAGGTATCCCTCCCTCTTGCAAATCGTCTGAAGGCGCAAATTTCATTTTAATCCAACGTTCTTCCTGCCATTTGCAAAGAGGTCGACCGTGAGGAAGGAGAGGGTTGTTGGGAAAGTCCTCCTTTCTTACTTTTAGCAAAGTAAGTGACACACTCGTATTCAGATTTCACACGTGTGAAGTCACTAGAGGATTTTTGAGGAAACAATTGTTATATATAATTATTGGAGATTGTTTAAAAGTTTAAGATCTAAGTTAAAACATCGTTAGTTAAGGAACAATTTACAGAAAGGAAAAGCAATTTATGGAATAAATTAAAAAAAAAAATACAAGTTACACCACGTTGCTACAAGACAGAGTTGTGTTAATGTCATAAACTCTTCATTATATTTATAATGAGAAGGGTCTCTATTTATTTAATATATAATTTGTCAATCAGCTCTAGGATTAAAAAAATTTTTTTTTGCTTAGTTATAACTTATAATTTTTTTTTGTACAAGGGGAATTGAGGGTAAAGGTAAGGGAAAATAGAGGTAAAGGACTCGAAGTCTAGCTGTATACATGAAAAATTTATATGATGATCACACAAATCACACATCAAAA